CCCCCCCGACAACCCCCCCCCCCCCCCCCCCCCCCCCACAGCCTTCCTGTGCTTACTGGGTCAGAGCTGCAGGGTTTTAAAAATGGCACCCAAGATGACAGCCATCTTAAAGGGGCAGCCTCCTTTTAAAAAAAAATTTTTTTTAATTTGTTTTGCTCTACAGTTCTGCTCTTCTGGGGGCTCCGCCCCTCCCCCCCGACAATTCTGTTCTGGGGGGGGGGGTTTTTTTTTTGCTTGACAATTCTGGTGCAGCTCGTCTCACTTTTTCCGCCGCTGTTTTGGCTCTCTTTGTTAAATGGGTTGGCCACCCCGGTCTACACTAACTATGGGGTACCAAAAGATGAAGCCTACAACAGGAAAGACTACTGGATGTACATATCTCCTTTAGTTGCTTTGTTTGCCAACGTGGGTAGCTGTTTGGTCACTACAGTTCTCCCGTGGGTAATGTTAGGAAGGAGCAAAGTCCAGCAATATGGCAGACCAATCACGACAATCAACCCAGGAGGAGTGAAATATCATCATGAGTTACAGTCTAATTCCAGGCATTCAGGAGGGGCATATCATGATAGATGGCACAGAGCTGACTATAGGAGGAAATCAAATGCAAGGGGCTGACAAAGCAAGGGGCATGAAAAGAGAAGAGGAGGTGAATGGAAGAGCAGAGTTGTACAGAGCCTAAAAGGTAAGAGGTGACCAATTCAGACTGGCCTCTCTAGACAACATAAATAAATTCAGGTTTGAAGAGATTTTTCTTAAAGAAATATTTCCTTTCTGCTTGTGCAATGCCAGCCTTCTCAGCTTTCCTTCATAAAATATAACTGAATATTTTGCAGTTCCTACCATCTAGAAGAGTTCCTCTATATTACACCTTTTCATATCAAATCTTAGTGGTTGAGCTTCTCATCTGTATGAGAATTGTTAACTCAGCGTTTCACAGCCCCCTTCTACTTAGATTTAACTCTAAGTTTCTATTAAAAATACCTCACAAAATAATGTTGCGTTGAATTACTGACATCACAGGCTTTCCAATTCAGGAACCTCAATCTAAACACAGCTGAGACGTCTAAGTGAACAGCGTTGATAACTGCAAAACTGGATCAGACCTGAGGTCCAGCTAATAGGTGGCCAACACTAGATGCTTCAGAGGTGCAGGATAAGAACCCCACAACTTGCAGATATGGAGCAGTGTGACCCCCATGTTTGGTCTCTTCCTGATCTCTAGTAGATAGAGATTGCCTTAAGATCTGTAGTATAAAGTTTAAAACTCTTTCCACAAATACAATAAAATCATTTCCTTTAATAAATGTGGAGGGGGGGGGGTTGTTTGTTTTAAAAATCTCAGCCCACAAGTAGGAATTAAGGATGTTAAGTATCAGGTAACTGACTCAGAACAGTCAATGCATTTTGTATCGACTGTTCAATTAGTCAATAGTGCACCTTCGCCTTTGAGGTGTTGCTCACTTCAAAGGCAAAAGCGCCCTGCGAAGCCCAGGGTCAGCTGCTGACCTCAGGCTCCACGAGGTGCTGCCGCTTTGAAAAGCCAGCTGGGGTGTCCCCAGACTGCATTCAGCATTACAAAGCAGCAGAGCTGCATGGAGTCCGGGATCAATAGGAGCTGAGAAATTGTGCTGGGTGGGGGCAGCATGCAAAGCCTCTTCCTCCCGTCCCCACTGGCACCCAGAGCAGACACACAGCGAGCAACCAGCTGCTTGAAGCGGTGTGGGGTTGCTCTATGTCTGAGGGGCTTGGCAGGCTCCAGCCCACAGGCCGCATCTTGCCTGTCCCTGTTTTAGTCCCTATAATATTAACTATTAGTAGGGATTCTCCTTCAACTCAACTCTGTCATCTTGGGGAAAATGGGCAGTGAGGAGGATAAAGTTATACAAAACACAAACCTCTGAAACAAAGGGCTGTGAATGTAAGCCACGGCTTAGGTTTTTTTTTTTTTTTTTAAACAAGGTTCAGCGTCAAGTTCCTTTTAAGTAACAAACTTTTGTTTCCCAAAAGTGTCCTTAAAGAAATCATTTGCCGTACAAAGCAGAGTTATTTGTCAACCAGAGGATTTTTTCATAAGTTCTGTATTTCAGGAACAAGGAAGATGCAGACATCTGCAATTTCACTTCCCTCATGAAACTAAATATTGAGGTATAAATCTTGCCTAATTTCATCAGCTAGTAACAGAAAGTGCCGGGGAAGGGGAGTTATTATATGAGCAGGTAGCATTTTTAAACCTGCTCTTAAGAACAGAAAACCAGACTCCAGGCAGGGTGAGAGTTTGATCAAAAAGGGGAAAAAAATCCAACCTGAGCCCTTTACTCATTTGGCTGTTACTCATTTCTTCCCTTTAGCCCCCACTGTTCTTCTGCTCAGACAAGCCCACATACCCCCTTATCAGAATGGAGGCATTAACAAGCCACACTTAACACAAGACTGCGGTAATCAATAGCTTTAGAGAGTGCCTAAAACCTGCCGAGGTGAAGGGTCTTCACAATATTCTTGTTGGGGTTGTCAGATAAGATCAGTCACTCAAAAAGTAGTGAACACTCCAGTCAATCAGAAAGTAGGTTTATAGACTATTTTCTGATAGCCAAAGAATATAAAATTGTTCTTTAAATGCCTCAGAACCTATTTTTTAACAAAGCTACAGCATCAAAATCCATATTATTCAGTCTATGAGATGTAATATACAATAGTGAGCATGGCTACTGTGATAACTGAACACAATGAAGCACAAAGCCAAATGACAAATACTTGCAGCACACAAAATACGCTTTTAGCTCAAAAATCTTTTATAAAATGGAGGTGGGGCCTTGTTTTTAAACCTGTAAGAGCACTGACATAACTTTTTAAATCTTTGTTCATTTACATACATTTTAGAGAGACTGAGGCCAGATCTACCCTAAAAAATTATGTTAATCCAGCTACATCACTCATGGGTGTGAGAAATCCACACCCCTGCATGACATAGGTAAAGTAATCTCTCACACATTGTGGGAAGCAATAGATCATCAGAAGAATTCATCTATCCTTCTCACTTCTGCTCTTGGGAGAGGTGGATGAATTTCAACCATGGGAGAACCCCTCCTTTCCCTGTAGTGGTTAAGCATAGACACTCACTAAGTGTCATCTCTGCAGCTGTGCTACATGCTACTTGAAGTTTTTGCCTTGGGATACTAATTTTTAAATGTCTCTTCTACTCACAGAGGTGTCATAGCAAATACACCTCAGAGTAAACTGAAATCCTTTTTCAAGAAAAATCCTCCCACTCAGCTTCTGGTGTCATGCATTGGCCCTCAATCGTACTGTAGATAGGGGAAAGGGAGCTGTCAGAAAAAGTCCTAATAGAACGTTGTCAAAGGTCTTCACTTGGAACAGGAAACAACTTGGCATTTTTCAAACAGCAGCCAAATTCTAGTCAGTGGCAACATTCCTATTTGTAAGTGCTTGCTCGCTCTCTGAGCACTAGTCATAACAAGCAAAACCCACAGTGACAACCCAGTAACAGTGAGCAAACCCGCATATTTAAAGGGAACAAAAAAAAAATCACTTGAACCAACCTGAATCATTCATTTTGAAATCTCTGTTTGCACTGGAGGGCATGGCATCTGTAAGGCAAAACACAAGAGCGATTAACACAACAGGGGAAAAACAATGCGGAAGGAAATGCGGCAGCCATGTTCGTGCTTGTGGTTATCTGGTGCAATGACTGACACTTCTCAGTACACTGCAAAGGCTGCAAACCCATTTGCAAGTAATACAGACTTAGCTCCCCTTCCAACTTTCAGGGGAGTTTAACTTGCCAACTTTATGTCCTTTTGGTTTTGTGTTTTTTTTTGTGTGTGTGTTTTTTTTTTAAACAAAACATGGGATGTGCCAAGTGACTCCTAACCATTAATGTATCAAGCCCGGTTACCCACATCTGGCAGTGGTCTATGCTTGATGCAGTAGAGAAGATACAGCCAAATTCCAATATGGCACTTCAGCACATGCAATGCTATACACTGGATGGGCTGTGAGGGATGCCCTCCTCTGAGAGTCAATTTATATCTTGAAACATGAGCTCCTATTACCCTTTGCTTAGCTTGCATAACTTCAGATGCTTTTAGTCACAGCACTTACTCAGTGCTTTTAGAAAACCAAGTAATGATATCTGACTCAATTATTATCTGCTGAAATATCCCAGCTAACTATTACAACAACTCTCGCACTGTAAAACAATATACGCTTGTATAGCCCCTTCCAGCTGATGATCTCAAAGGTTTAATCTTCACAAACCCTTGCAAAACAGTAGAGCATCAGCCTCATTTTACAGAGAAAAGAGCAAGGTCTAGGAAGATTAAGTGACTTGCCCAAGATTATGCAAGTCAACAGCAAAGTCAGAAACTAAGGTCCCCCAATTCCCACACCCTGCTGCAAACACTGAACTATACTCCCACAAGTCCCGTGTGTGTTTCAGTAACATTATATTGTATCCTTCAGGTCTAAACGTTTACATTTACCTGTCTGTCGACTTTTTCTTATACTTTGCCGGACCAAAGAAGATATATCACCCCCTAAAACAAAGGAGAGGAATATATTACAAGTATACTATTATTAACTGGGTTCTATAATGGGCTTACAAAATAGTTTAATACACTTTCACTAGCCAGAGAAAAAAACTCTATAAATATGCTAATTTCTGATTGGCTGGATTGTTAACTCATATCAGACTGTCATGCATGGCAAATAAGATCAGAGAGTCACCAAGGCAACAACGAAGTCACTCCTCCCCTGTTGCGTAGAACAGGCCCGAGTCCCTTCCACCCTCCCCTGCCCAAGCCTCTGGGAGGGAGTTTGAATGCTGGGTGGGGGCAGCAGACTGGGCTACAGGAAGGATGAGGGGTTAGGGTCTGGGAGGGGGTTTGGTGTGCAGGCTCTGGGATTGAATTTGAGTGCTGGGTGCAGGCTCCAGGCTGGGGTAGAGGGTGCAGGCTCTTGAAGGGATTCCCCCCTCTATCAGCTGCTCCTAGGTGGAAGGGCTGGGGGAATCTGGCACTGTCCCACTGCTCCCATTGGCCTCAGGGGCACTGGAACATGCAGACATACATACACACCCCACTCCTCCCAGCAGCATCAGAGATATGCTGGCAGCACACATGACAGCAGGGAGGAAGCCTTGTTAACCCCACTGTGCTGCCAATGGTGATCGTTGCCGGGGGCCCCTCGGCCCTTTTGAATCATACAGGGCAGCAGGCGGGAAAGAGACAGCCCCGAGCTTTGGTGGAGCCAGGCCCTCAAGCCAGGAATATTCCTGGAGCCTGGGCATTATGGGCCCATATAACTCCCCGCCCCTGTATGCAGGGTCTGTGCAGGAGAAGTAGCTAGTGGATGCAGGATCTGGGCAGCGAAGGGGGGGCAGAAACAAAGGGGATGCAGGGACAGGAGCTGAAAGTGAGATAACTGAGTAGAGACAGGCAAGGGGAATGGAGAAGGGTCTATTACCACTAGAGGACACTTCCCTCTGGAGACTGGAATTGATCCCAGGATCAATTCTCTGCATTCCTCCGCTGTCTGACAGAGTTGAAAAACTCACTGACAATGTGTTTCATCAGCCTCTGTCATAATCAGGAGCGCTGACCAGCACCTGGTGACTAAGGGCCTCCTGTACCCAGCCAGGTATCCGGTGGTCAGCCAATAACAATGCAGGTAGGAATTTCAAACTGGGAAAGAGGAGTTTTTATTTTTCCATGTTTGTCTGAGAGCAGAGCAGTTTCTTGTAAGACTGAGGGGGGAGATGGGAGACACTTCTCTCTCCAAGAACAGACTTCTTACAATGCGTAAGTAGGGAAAAGTTTAGATAGTGCATCAGGATTTGTTGTTTTTCCTGGTTTGGGAATGTGGAACTAATGTCAGAGCTGTTGAGTGTGTTTTTTTTCTCTTTTGTAATTAACGCTGTTAGCTCAGGGGGTCCCCATGAGAACCTAGAACAATTGGTGGCTCTTTCCATCCAGCCACTTTACTATGCTTGTAACTGTAGTTTTGTTTTGATAATAAACGTTTGTTTCTTTTTTCTAATTAACTGGAATTGGTGGATTATTGAGTCCTTTGACTTAGTGCCTAGTTATAAGGGCAGAGTCCATTGTTGTTGGTGAATCCCCTCTGTTTTCCCAACTCCAAGTAAAACGGGGCAGAGGAGAGTTTTACCTTAGGGAGGAGGTGTCCCAAGTGATCTCCTCCCTGGTTTTCTTGGAATTACTTGGGTGGTGGCAGCAGATTTCCCAAAATCTGGGTATTAGGATTCGGAGGTGGGGGGAGGAGTTTATTGAACTGGAAACTGCAGAAGCAAAAGTTTGGAGTGCTCTTGCAGGCCCCCACTTCTGCATTCGTAGTACCAGAGTGGGGAACAGCCTTGACAGCCTCTAACAGCTGATCTACATAGAAGATGACAATCTATTTCTGCAGGCAGTCACTCAGTTTAGGGGTACTGGCCAATGCTCTGGACCTGAAGGTCAAAAATGGTACGCGCCCGGCAGAATTCAATCCTGAATGAATGACAACAGTTGATTCTATCACAGGGACTGAGACAGGACACACTTTGAAGTGATTCACCAGGTCAGTTGGACTAAACTTCTATAAATGAAGCAAAGTTTGCTCCTGCCTAAAATCTGCTCCTAGACCAACCCAAAAGAATCAACGATCAGGCTCCATGACACTTGCCAGATGTCACTGAGGAGCTAAAGAGGAAGTGCAGTCCCCCAATCCCTCAATTCTACAGAGGTTAAAGCATCAAAGAGCCCAGAGATCAATAAAAGTAAGATACTAAGTCCTAAAAAAATTGTTTGGCAGTACCATCCTCCTAATTCCTAACCATATGGAATAACTGAACACCAATGAATTGGGAAACCAATCTTTGATTCAAGAATACGGCACTGTGAGAACAATAAATACTGTTTTCTTTGACCAAGTAAAATCCTATATATATACACAGGTGTTATCTGGCTGTATCTAAACTACATGCTGGGACCCAAGGAACCTCGGTGTTTGTAATATTCTATTTTTATTAATCAGAAATGGAGACTATACAGAAGTAACTGAATAAAACTCCTACTCATCTCCTTGCAAAAGTCCTTTTTACAGAAATTCTTTGAAAGGGCACAACAGTGCCTTCACTATGTAACGGCAATTTAAAATCTAGTAGTCTCTTAAGTATTTGAAGTTATGTAATACTACAGAGTGAAGTCTAGTATTACTTTGCATTCTCTGCACATAGTTAAGTTGTTGAAACAGTGTATTGTAGATGTTTTGATATGCTAATTTATAATTGGTATCAGTTCATACTATCTGGAAAGAGAAGATTTCCTCTAACTGGCGAAAGAAAAGGAAAGAAAGCCCACTGTTACCGTCTATCAAGCGTTTCTGCCTGTTGTCATTTTTGTTGGTCATTTGTCTTCTGTATACAGATGCTTCAAAACATACATAGAAAAAAAAAAGCATTTTAGAAACAAGCCAGTAAAATAGTGTGCACATATCAATAAAAACAAGTGTCAGGAAATTCATTTGTTATTCAGTTTATAAAAGCACTAGTAAAATCACTCCTACAACCACATGAACGAATTATCAAATATTCAAATGCACAAGCTTTATAATTCAACTGAAGCTTTTTTGTTTAATTTAAAAGTGTAAGGATAGGAGAAGAAATAGATACCAGAAAGGAAGAGGAATGGAAGTAAAAATAAAAGTAGAAGATATACCCCTTCTAAATAGCAATGGTAAGTTCAAGCCAGGTCACCCTAGATTGGTGACCTGGTATTCTGCCTTGGTTGCTGTAATCAGAACTGGGTTTTGCCCATGAAAGCTTATGATACTATCTATCTATATATTTGTGTTAGTCTCTAAGGTGCCACAGGACTATTCGGGGCTTTTTTAAAGTTACAGACTAACAAGGCTACCCCTCTGAGACCTTGTGCGCCAGAAACTAAACTAAACAAACAAAAAAAAACCCTACAAAAAAGTCTCCACCCATTATGGTTGCACAGAGAACACTGAAATTGTGAGCTAGCTGAAAAGAGACCCAATGAAGCTTGGCAAACTCAGCAAAGAGAGTGAAACAACGCTTCAAAGAGGTGTGAAATGCCTCTCTGTCAACGTGAAGAGCTTTGCAGGAGAGCAAGTACAGAGTAGCCCCTTCTCCTGCACCACTCAAGAACTCTGTAGAAGCAGGAAGTTATACAGCACTTCACATTTCTGTGGAAGTAAGGCAGGCCTGCATACCCGTTACCACAGCTATAGAGTAAAGCTAAATGCCATGCTTCCAATTTACTATGAAATACTACTAGAGCAAGATTTGGTCTTTGGTGCATAGTGAATAAAGCAAGAGTGAAATTCAACCGACAGCATACAAGCAACTTCATCTGTGTCATTCCCATTTTTAGGGGATTCATTTTAAAAATACATTAAAGCTGTATAGTAATCCCTCATTTAACACTATAGATGTGTTTCTGAAAATGTTCAGGCTAAGAGAAAACGTGCTATGCGGGGTAAATTTTCCCATTAAAAATAATGTAAAAGGTGGAGGTTGCATTTCAGGCAGTGGTGGCAAAGTCAATTTTTTGTTAGTGCTGGGTCGTCAACATTAGATATCTAGCAACACAAGTCACTGTGGTTTGTTAAAACACAAAGATAGACAGACACATGAGTGAGCAGAGAAGCGCTGTGACCACGTGTATTCATCCGTTCATGCATATTACCAGGGCTCGCCAAGCGGCGGTGAACCCCCCTCACCAGCTGTGCTGAGCGGCGTACTGCGCGGGCTTGTAATCTACTTGCCACAGGCAAGTAGATTACACTAATTGTCGAGCCCTGCGTATTATCACTGTTTTCACCAACTTATACCGCAGCGTGAAGTAGTCTGCCACTTGATTATTATCCTGTTATTTCGAGGACGGTTGTGTTATTTGAAAAACATTCCCTAAAAAAAATCGTGCTATTGCAAAAACGTGTAAAGTGGGCACATGTTAAATGAGTAAGTACTGTATGGAAGCTAATGCGTATCAGCTATTTGATAAATACAATTCACTGGTCTATTTATAACTGACTTTAGACACAAAATTATGTTGGGGCAAGACAACTAAGACTAGGGGTTCCCAACATTTTGGGGCTGCCGGGCGCCTGGGGGCAGGGCCGCTTACGTGCTGCGCTTACGGGGGCGGGGTTGCTCACAGGCCACGTGCCTGGGGGCGGGGCCAAGCATGCGCCGCACGCTCCAGGCCGGCACCAGCATGTGCCGTGACCCCGGGCAGGGGCTGCCCAGGTGCTGTGTGCCTGGGGCCAGTACTGGCATGTGCTGCGACCCCGGGCAGGGGTCACCCATGCGCCCGGGGCTGACACCTGCCGCACGCCCAGGGCGGGGCCAGCCCAGATTGCTCCGCAAGTGCACATAAATGGCCCGGCGGGCGCCATGGCGCCCACGGGCTCCGCGTTGGGGCCCACTGAAGACGAACGTGGCACAATGCACAACTTAACCGGCTCCATGTAGATTCCTTAACGATTTTTATAGACAATCGAGTGGGAAAATGCTCAGCACGACGCCCGGGCTGACTGAGCTCGGGCCACATCTCTTCCCTGCCTGCTCAACAGTAACACGTGGAATAGCAACCCGGGCTGCGCCCACGAACGCTCGCGACCCCTCCCCACGCTCGGGGAGTCTGCACAGAGCTGCCGGAGCCCGGGGGGCTGTTTCCAGTTGAGGTGAACAGGCGCCACCCGCTGCCCGCGCGGACGCAGCAGGGAGCGGAAGGGAACGAAGCGGGGCGCAAAACAAAGCCGCTGTCAGGCCGCTTTCCAGAGCCGCCCGGCCCCGGCCCCTCAGAGGCTAATTTGCCTAAACCCGAGGTGCCTGCTGGTCAGATGGGCCGGTCACATGGTAGAGCCCGGGCGCCCCCTCGGCCCCCCCGCCCGCCTCAGCTGGCAACGGGCTCAAGGG